CCTTATAGGAATAGTTAGATTGTAGATGTTACATGTCACCATATTCCTTCGACAATGTAAATGGCAGTTACTATAAAAGATAACGCTGTAGCGAAGTCCTAATAAGCGAGGGAACGAACGAAGAGGTCCTTTATTGTTACGCAACTTTCCCCAAACTTTCTCGTTTTATGTCGAACGATGAACTAGTCTCATCTCGGACTTCACCGACCACGGATTAACAAAACTCACCACGACTACGTGACCCTAACCTTGCGGCCTAGTGCGTGTTCCAGTGACAAAAAGCCGCGATGCCTCACCATTCTCTGACTAATTAGGTACTACGCCAGCTTAGCGCGCCCTTCATAGAGGGATGGCACTTAGCCTGCTCTCCCCCTAACATCATGGTCAAGGCCGCCATCAAATATTAACGCCATCGGACCAATCATACGGACCGAGTATATACGGACCGAGTTGAGCCCGTATATACCAGCGTTTCGCGCCAATGTGAAGCGTGTGATCATGTCGAGACGCCGAGTAGCTGTCTGAACCTGTTCCAGTCGCACGCTTGTTTGTGTTTGCCAGTGATATCTATGCCTACTCGTACTGTCTATATGTTCCCCGTTTTATCTGGTTTTACGTGTCTGGTGAAAAGCCACTTTTATTGTGGATCCTAGATGAATACACATCTGTATCTGTATCTGTATCTATCAGCATGACGTAACATTTGGCTTCGCGAATCGCAACCTTGGCCCAAGACAGGTTCTCTCTGACCAGGCACACTCGTTCGCCTATTCAGCAGGTATTTGCATTCGCGCAGGCACGACTCTCCCGAGCGAGTCACAACGACGCATTGGCGCCATTACATACCCCTTGGCTCGCAGGCATTCGTTGGGGAGCGTTTCACTGGACAGACGGGACGACTGGGGGGGGGGGGGGAGGGGGAGCCAGGTGGTGTAAATCAGCGTGTCCGACGGCCATAACGGCGGGACGGTGCCAGGCAGCGTGAGGGCCCATCCGGCCGGACTCAACTGAGCGGCATCGACCGGACGGGTTGGCTGGGGGCAGCTCGAGGGCGCTGCCGTGGCGTAATTACCGGTCACGCCATGTCGAACAGACGGAGTGGAGGGGACGTGGACCCACCTCAATCAACATCCACCCCCGCACCTACGTCCTACCTCCCACATCATTCGTCCTACCTGTGCAGGGCGGTTTCCCCCGATGTCAGGACTGAACGGAACAGCTCAGCGTGCACTCCACATCACTCGCTGCCACGGTCTCGGAACGTACCCTGTAACCTGGTCTGCTCCTTGACCCACTCATTCTCCACATACTCGGAACTCCTGCGGCGGTTTTCTCGTCAACATGATCGCATCCAATCACCCTGCGGCTCGGCACGGGTGAAAATGTTGAAAAAACACGTTTGCGTAACGAGGAGCGTGCCTTCGTGATTAACACAGGCTCGACTGGGATTGAAGCAAGGGGCAGTGGCTAAAAACAGCCCTGAAAAACGAATGCCGTGATAGACGTGGTTGATCGAAGCCGAGGATTAGAGCTTTTGCTTACCACTTTACATGAAAAGACAGGTCCGAGCGAAGTTTTGCGTTGAACCTGAAATAAGCGCGGCGTAGTTCCTTGAAGTTCGGAAGAAATCACCCCGATCCCCCTGACGTGAGGTGACCAATTTCAGCCTCTGTTGGCTCAGCGTATTTGCCGAGGTGTCGTGTTTGGCCATCCGATTGTGTGCGCCTGCCTGCCAACATCGAAAAACAAATCATAGTTCCGAGAGCCTTTAATATGGAACACGCAACTGCCTGGCATCAAAAGGAAGGCTTCCTAATGCCTGTAATTAGGACTGACAAATCGATCCTACTTGAGTCGCTGATGAAACAAACTGCGTCACCTCAGCAACCACACTGACCACTGACCAGCACCACTGGGCAATCACACAGGACGATTTTCCACGCGCACGCTGATATTGGCCTTTGATCACGCATTTTTGATACGCTCTTTCTGGTTTTGAGCGTTTGGTGGTGATAGTTTCGTTTCTCTAGGTTCCATTAGTTAGGTTTCTTTCTCGTTTTCGTTCCCTTCGCTTTTCCCCATGTCGGGGAAAAGACGCCGCCCTGATCCCCCGGACTCCGACTCTGACTCCTCCTTGGCCGACTCTCCTGATCACGTGATGGACTCCCAACTCCCGGCTGCTGACCCCGCCCCGCCTCTGACCGCTCACCCTGGCTCTGACCTTCGCTCGTCCTCGACCACCGCCCCCGGCACTGACCCTCGCTCGACCCTGGCCTCCGCTCCCGGTACCGACCCGCGCCCGAACCTGACCACCGCTGGCCCGTCTATGGACAAGCCTGAGCCGTATCTTGAGTCTTCTGGATCGTATTTGGTGATCAAGCCGGTTGATGAAAACGTTTCTTTCCGTAAGGTGAATGTGTTCTGGCCCACTAAATATCTAGGGATGATCTGTGGCACCGGTAACCTGGATATCGAAACCCCGGCGAACGGAACACTTATCGTCAAGACCGAAACCCGCGCTCAAACCAAGGCTCTGCTTAAATGCACTCGCTTCTGTGAGAAAGATGTGACTGTCTCTCTGCACCATGCTCGCAACACCACGAAGGGCACGATTTTCGCTCCAGAGATGCGTTACATGTCCGAAGAGGAAATCCTCAGCGGACTCCGTCCTGAGGGGGTCGCTCATGTCCGCCGCCTCACTACCTTCAGAGACGGCCAGAGGCGTGACACTAGCTTGCTGGTGATCACGTTCAACACAACGAAGCTGCCAGACACTCTGCTTGCCGGCCACATTCGCTACGAGGTTCGCGTCTTTGTCCCAAACCCTCTCCGCTGCTTTAACTGCCAACGCTTTGGACACGGCTCGAAATTTTGTAAGCAGACCGCACGGTGCCACCGTTGTGGTGCAGCTCCGCACGATGGCTCGCCCTGCTCCGCTCCAGTAAAATGTCTCAGCTGTGATGCCACGGACCACACTACCAACTCAAACCAGTGTCCAGTGTGGAAAAAGGAAAAAGAAATCTGCACAGTAAAAGCCACCACGGGTGTTTCATACCCACAAGCACGCCGCTCAGTGGAAGAGAAAGTCTCCAAACAGCCAGTCAAGTCGTATGCCCAGGCCACACAGACTCAGACCGTCTCCAGCGGTACACAGACCGATGCCATCCCAGAGCTCCCTCCTCTGAAGTGCCTCTCGCCTCTGACTCCTCAGCCTATGGCTCCCGAAGCGACCGCCTCCACCAGCGCAACCCAGACATCTGAGACCACTGATGCAGATGAGCAGATGCCGTCTCTCGAGTCCCCACCAGCTGCTTCTCCTGAGATCGCTCAGAAGCCTAAGTCTGTCGGAGCAAGCCGCTTCACTAGCTGGACGAGGGTCCAGAAGTCTGGTGGCTCCCGCCCCAAACCCTCAGCTTCCCTCACAGGTGATGGACAATCCAAGGATCGCCAGTCACGTCCACCGACTCGGGTGGCGATGGGGCGTAACCGCGCGCTGAGCTGGGCCTCGCCCAGCCGTGGTAACACATCTCGTCACCAATCATGAATAGTTACACCATGCTCCAATGGAACTGCCGAGGCCTACTTTCCAAGTGGGCCGAACTAAAAAACTTTTTCTCCGTACTTACTCCTGTACTTATTGCGCTACAGGAAACTTGGTTTTTACCGACCGATCAGTACAATTTCAATTTATCAAACTACACATTATACAGACATGATGAGCTGTACGGACAGCGCCGCCATGGTGGTGTCGCATTATACGTAAACAACGATTATACACATTGTGAGCTTGATATACAGACAGATTTACAGGCCGTTGCGTGTACCATGTATGTCAACGGCAGGAACATCGATGTTTGCAGCATTTATATTCCTCCCGATTTTGATAATACAAACCTTCTTAGACAGCTTAACAATCTCACGGACCAGTTTCAAAACCCCTTTCTTCTTCTCGGCGATTTCAATGCCCACAGTCCGGCTTGGTTGGACACACAATCATTGAAACCCAGAGGAAGAGTTCTGGAAGATTTTCTTGATATGAATAGATTAGTAACACTCAACTGCAATCAACCGACACACTTTAATTTATCACATAATACAGAGTCAGCCATCGACTTATCTATTTCTTCTTCTTGCATTGCCCCTTGGTTCCACTGGACTGTTGATAGTGATATACACGATAGCGATCATTACCCGATTTTTCTTCGTTTTGGTTTTCCAGTCCCGGGTATCAGCTCTTTCATCCCCCGCTGGAATCTTGGCAAAGCTGATTGGATTAAATTCACAGAGTTGTGTGAATTTGAACACCACGAGCGCTTTGCAAATCCTGAAGACGGTATTTCATACATCACTGAAACATTAATATCAGCCGCAAAAGAGTGCATTCCTGAAACCAAGCCATGCAAAAAAGGAAATGCTGTACCGTGGTGGACACCCGCGGTTCGATTGGCTATAGCAAAAAGGAAAAGAGCCTTCCGTACTTACCTTAGACTTCGCACAGAACAAGCCTTAAAGGGACACTCCCACCTTAACATTAGTTTTGAGTTGAGATAGCCAAATTGGTGGCCATGGCCTGCAAATACCGGTTTGGGCACTCACAACATCGACAAATGATTTAATTCGGAGATATGGAATTTCAAACTTGCAGTTTTCGGATTCTAAGGGGCTAGTGCATTGGTATGCCCCCTTAGAATTTGTGACGTCAGCGGAGATCTAACGATTTTTAAATCTTTTACTAAAACGTTTGGTAGCACGGGGTGGTATATGCTGCTTTGCGCGCAACAAATGCCGCACTTTCAAATAAAGTCGCTAGGAACAGCGGAGATCCCAAAAAGTAAACAAAAGTAAAATCTAATATCTTGAAAACCGGTGAATATTTTTCGATGAAATTTGGTAGATAATCGTTTTCGCTCTTTCTGAACCGAGCGACATCACTTTCGTGCCAATTCATTAACTTTTTTGAAGGTGGGAGGGTCCCTTTAATTAACAGAAATAGGGAGCGCGCAAACGCTCAGCGAACTATTCGGGCAGCCAAGCGCGACTCCTGGACCCGATTTTTGTCTTCATTTACTTCTTCGACGCCTTTATGCAAGATTTGGGATTTAGTTCGTCGTTTATCCGGAAAACGCACAGCTGCACTGTAAACCAAATTGACAAGTCTTGTGTAATATAACCAATCATCTCTTGGTATGTTTACCAACTGATACTTTTCAAACAAGCCGTTGTCTGTTGCATTGCTTGTCAGATGACAACTACGAGTCAATAGTTACTATGCACACCAACTTCTCAGTATCCAGACCAACTCTACATTTGTTTCAACGTTTGTTTCTTAACCAGTTTTGGAAACTTGTTGCCGCATGGTTATTTAACCGGCGCCTAACTTGTACTGGTCAGCTGGTCAGCATACACATGGTCAGCTGCGCCCGTGACGTCAGACTTGGCGGACCAATCAGCGGTCGCCGTCCGGCCCCGGCGCGGCGGTTTCAAACCGTTCAAACCAGCAGTTGTCGCGCGGCCGCCGTGCAGCATGGATCAGCGACGAGGGCTGTTCCAACATTTGTGCAGTAAAAAGTGAAATCTGTGAACTGTGGTGTTCGTGCTGTGAGTGAGGCCCGCTCTGGCCTGCGGGACGCACTAATCGTGCCTATACCCGCGGTCGAGACGCCTCCCTTCCCCTGCGCGCGCAATGTAAGTGGGCCAGACCTTTGCATGCACATGTGAGCAGATGTTTTGCGGTCGGTGTTTTTTATATATAAATACATTTATTTGCCTTTAATTCAACTCTTTGTATTTTTAACTTAACTGATGGACATATATGGGCTGTAAAAGCTAATCTGGTTGGCGATCATGCTTTATTCGAATTATCTGCGTGATCGTGCAACTGCCATGATTGTTATGGTCAATGTGGAAATATTCGTCATACGGGCATGTTATACTTCTGGCTTGATGCGATGCACAAAACCATGTTCTTCCACATACGCAGCAGTTCTTGCTTCAAAGACTTATATGCTGACGGTGCACGATAGGTATACCTTATACCTCATGCATTTACCACATCCATTCGAAAATATGCACTTGGAATTGTCTCCAGTCAATAGTATTAATTACATACTACGTGATGTAGGTACGTGACCGTAATAAATACTAATGATTCCAGAAACTTCCGAATGGATGTGGTGTATGCATTCATCGATTATATAACCCATCAGTATTTCGTTTCTTGTCAGCGCAAGCCTTTGAGCAATAACTGATGCCAGTCATGATTTTGTGCACCACTTCCAGCCAAAAAATGACCTGTCCGTATAGAAAATATTTCCTGAATCAGTATCGTGGCAATTGAAAACGAACGCGAATCGTAAGTTCTTAAGGTTATCAACGCAAACAAAGCGATTGTAAGGAAGAACAAGTTCGAACTGAGCGTTAGTACACTTACTTGTTGACAATTTGTAAACTAGCAATGCCCAGTCAAAGGCTAGTTCATCAACAAACCAGGGGTTGTTGAACCGACAAGGAAACGGTTATGCCTATCCAGAAGTTGGTAGGTTCACAAGGCCCAGACTAGTACTCAACAAGGTGACGCCTATGCGAATTGGAACCAAACTTGTAGACAAACTGTTAGTTTGTTGGCCAACACGCCTGGGGTTGGTGAATCGACAAGGTGACGCCTATGCGAATTGGAACCAAACTTGTAGACAAACTGTTAGTTTGTTGGCCAACAAGCCTGGGGCTGGTGAATCGACAAGGTGACGCCTATGCGAATTGGAACCAAACTTGTAGACAAACTGTTAGTTTGTTAGCCAACCGGCCTGGGGCTGGTGAATCGACAAGGTGACGCCTATGCGAATTGGAACCAAACTTGTAACAAGGAGCCAACTTGTAGATTTGGTTTACAGTGTGCAACTTTCCCGGTGCTTAGGCTTCCGGGAACAGCCAACACCATTAGTGAACCAAATGATGTCGTAAACTGTTTAGCTCAACAAGTTGCTTTCACGAGCTCAAATGAACGCTACCAACCACAGTTTATAGGTAGGGCTCGTCAACGATTTTTGCCTGACCCAGATACTTTTCTCTCAGATAACAACGAATACTACAATGTTCCCTTCACAGCACAGGAATTAAATGAGGCCATCGGTTCCGCCGGAAATACTTCCGTGGGGCCTGACAAACTTCATTATTCTTTCTTCCGCCATCTTTCGGAGAACTCGAAGCTTTTCATTCTTCAGACGTTTAATGATCTGTTCTGCAAGCAGGTCTTCCCAGAGCATTGGAAAGAAAGTATAGTTGTAACTCTATTAAAACCAGGTAAAGCTAGGCATAACGCAAACAGTTATCGTCCTATAGCCATGACAAGCTGCATAGGCAAGCTTTTGGAAAGGATGGTCTCCAAACGTTTATCGTTTCACCTCGAACAGCAAGAGTTGCTTTCGAAATTCCAATGCGGGTTTCGAAAGCAACATTCTCCAATCGACCACTTGATCCGTTTAGAAAGTGATATACGGAAAGGCTATAAAAAGAAACAACATACTTCAGCAATTTTTCTTGACATTAAAAACGCTTTTGATATGGTGTACAGGCCGGCATTGATTCATAAATTAGGCCTGCTTGGCATCAAAGGACACTTGGCTTTTTATTTGTGCAACTTTCTCTCGGGAACCAGGCGTTTTCGTGTTCGGCTCCGCTCAGTATTTTCCAACACGTATGAAACACAGAATGGACTTCCACAAGGTAGCTGTTTATCTCCAATTCTTTTCAACATTATGATTGACGATTTATTTGAAAACATTCCTGCTGACACATCTTTCTCTCTCTTCGCCGATGACAGCGCCATTTGGTGTACCACACCTGACTATGACATCGGGATCCATCGTCTACAAATAGCACTACATAAAATAGAAAAATGGTCGGCCTTGTATGGTTTGGAATTTTCTCCGGAAAAATCTGCGTTTATGATTTTTTCCAAACACAACATAACACAGCCATCTTCTCTCCCTACCTTGAACGGGACGCCAATTCCACTCGTAAAAACTTTCAAGTTCTTGGGAGTCGTCTTGGACCCCAGATTATCAATGGTACATCATGTCAAACACGTTCAAACAAAATGCAAGAAAAGGTTAAATCTGTTCCGCTGTCTCACTAGTACCCCAGCAGGGGCAGATCGCTCGGTACTTCTAAGATTATATAACAGCATTGTTTTACCCATTATTGAGTATGGGGCAGTCATGTACGCAGGAGGTTGTCAATCCAGTTTGGTCAAGCTAGAAGCTGTCCAAAACAATTTTTTGAGGTTAGCCCTGGGTGCAATGAAAACTTCGCCCATATCATCCCTTCAAGTAGAAGCAAACATTACCCCCTTACATATAAGAAGAATTGATCTGTCTCTACGATATTACTAAAAAATACAGCACTTACAGTCTCATGCAGCTCATCTAGCCATATCCATTCTTCCTAGGCTGCATTTCAGCTATCTCGGTAGGTGCGAGAGAAGGACGGGACTTACTTTGGCCTCACGAATAAGAAAATATCAGAATGATTTAGGTTACGAATTACCTCATGTGACACCACTACCGCACTGTGCAATATCGCCTTGGACGGCTCATCCACTTTCGGCTTCTTTCTTGTTTACGACCAACAAGGGCTCTCTTTCTCACGGCGAAGTACAGCAATCCTTTCTGAGTTTTCAGGCGTCTCATGCTCGTTACAATTTTGTTTATACAGATGCCTCGAAACAAAACGACACGGTCGGCATAGGTATATTCGCTCCAGAATATCCACGAACACTTGTGAGGGTACAAAACGATATTTCTGTTTACTCTGCTGAGCTGCACGCAATTTTCCTCGCACTCAAACTTATCCACGAGCATCATATTCAAATGGCATGCATATGTTCCGATTCCAAATCAGCAGTTCTAAGTCTTATGCACCCTGATACGTCGCAACATATCAGTTTAAACATACTTACTTTACACCAACAACTTATCGAGGGTGGAGTTCAAATAAAAATTTTATGGATACCTGGACACAGTGGCATTTTTGGTAATGAAAAAGCTGACAAATATGCTAAGCAAGCCCTGGCGATTCAGGATATAACCATGATTCCCTATACCTCCAACAATATTCGAGCCTCCATAAAACAACATTGTCACCACTTCTGGCAAAACAGTTGGGACACCGAAGGTATCGGCACACACCTCCATCGTATCAAACCATATATAAAACATTGGTCATCATCATGTCGAAATTCCAGAAGGGAAGAAAAGGTTTTGGCAAGATTACGAATCGGGCATACTTACTTCACTCATTCTCACATATTCAATCGACAACCAAGGCCTACTTGTTCTTCCTGTAGGTCTCCTCTTACAATCGAACACTTTTTATTACATTGTCGTAAATATCACGCAGATCGTAAACAAATCAATGATTACTGCCGGGCACATAACGTGCAAATGACTTTACCCACCATTCTTGGGGACGATCATCCTGTAATACTACAACTTCTCTTCTCTTTTCTTCTTAAAACGGATCTTCTTCATCGTCTTTAGGTTCACTAGTCTCTTCATTCAGTTAACTTAACTCGACTTGTAAACACAGCGGTGCGTAATGGTCCAACGGACTGAAGCACCTAACCAACAAAAGAAAGAAAGAAAGCACCACTGGTGACACTTGTTCAGAAATCCCATCGCCATTATTTTGTTATTTATAATTAACACTGCGCCTCTGGTTTCAGTCTCAGTTCCAGCAGCGCTCTGCCGCTGAGAGACAGCAGAGACTGGCCGAGCTGGCACCCGTGCGGGCCGCGCCGACAGAGCCTGCCCGCCCCGCCGCGGTGACCGAGAGAACTGCATCTGAGCCTGCCCCCCGCGCGGCGGCGCCACCGTCGCGGCAGCCGGTCGCCGCCAGGGGTCGGATCACCAACGGCAGCACTGCGGCCACCGTGTCTACCGGAGGCCGGGCTGCTCCGATGGGCTCGGCCGCCTCATCGACGGCCGGTAGCGGCGGAAAGGTGCGCGCCATGTTCCAGTCCCGGCGCGCAGGAACTGCCGCATCCGCCGGCTCCGCGCACCAGACGTCTCCCATTGGCTGGGACAAGAGCTACCCGCTGGAGCCGATCAAGAAATCGGCGCCGGCTCGCTCCTCGGCACCTCCCCCCGCAGCGGTAAGTGAACCCGTCGACGAAACAGATGCGCCGCTCCACCGTACACTGAGTGACGACAACCTGACTGCGGTCGAGTCCAAACCGAGGGGAGGTAGTATCCGCAGTTCGCTGACGATGCCCGAGCTCACAATGCCGGAGATTCACGTAGTGCGAGAGAAACCTACTCCTCAGCAGCGCCAGGCGGAGAGGTTGCGAATTAACGCCGAGCTGCGCAGGAGGGACCACGAGCTTCTGGAGCGCATCCGGGACCGGTCGAAGCAGCAGTGCGGTCCGCTGCCTCGCAGACCGATGCGCGTGAGTCACACACGTCGGCACACATAAGTGTGATTTTGTAGTTTGCAGCACAGCCTCAATCCGTCGTTCAGCTCTGCTTTTTTATTTCTAGTTCTATTCTTTATAAACGCATCTGTCGTTGCATGGGCAAGGCACCAGGACGTTGTCGTTGAACGTTGAACAATGACATCTGGAATGTAGGTATCTGAGCTGGGAGATCGGTTCAATGAAAAGACGCGAACATAGGCACGATGCCATTTGTAGCTTCACTTCCAGAAACACCCAAGAAAACGGTAAACGGTATTCCAGAAATAATCATGCTTTTGGCTGCGAAAGAGTCGAATAGGGTCAAATAAAATGTAAGCCTATGAGACCATTTAAAACGTTTCCATTTGCGCTGAAATTTGTGCATTAATGACGCTTCATTCCTCATAAATCCAGTGTCAAACTGTGTTCTGATCATTTGTCTAGGCATTGCAGCCGCCACATAGTCCCCATTTTCACCGGGCATCCTGATAAGTTGACTGTCAATGTGTTTCCACCAACTGGTCTAACGCCGTCAATTGTTCGATTGTGCTCTGCAGCATGCCGCGTAATGCCTCACGAGCTATTCGCCATGTACGGGCGCACTTAATGTCAATACGATACACGCCTGAAGGTCAGCCAGTGTTGCATGCTGCTTGTTTTGTCCTGCTCTGTTCGGCACCCGACAAAAGGCTCCCGGTGGCGCCGACCACGGGTCAATATGTGACGCCGAGGTCATCCTAGCAGATCGATAATGATAAAGCGCCCAACTGGGAGCTGATAAAGTGCAGCCAAACTCTGGAGCATTCATCACGTGGAGACGGTTTGGAGACAGTCAGTCACCTGGCCTTGGCTCCTCAGTCCTCTGGTATTTAAGGGGTATTTCGAATGTTCATTGCATTACCAAGGCAACACCCACTAATATTATGTGATGAATAATGAAAAGCAAGCTGTATGTTTCATGGCTTTAACCTAAACGTTCACTTCATAACGTATAAGATCGTTCGCGATCTTTCCTCAGCTCACGGCTACCAAGTCTGGTACCTACCCTGGGCTAATTACAGCGTCTTTTCTTTCATTCAGCCGACAGCCGAGGACGCTGCTAATTGCGGAAAATGCACACACGGTGCCGGGGGGTTTGTCCCATGGACTGACGTTCGCAGCCGCCAGTCGGCCGACTAATTACCGGTTTCCCTGACAACTCGACAACTCACAGCGGCGCGACATCGCGTTACATGTCAAACAGACTGTGTCACACGCCGGGACCAGTGTTGGCGGAGTGACAGAAATCAGCGCAAGTATCGAGCCCGGAGACTCGGAAGGAATGACACGGTCGCCGTGACGACGGTAGCCGACTTAGCTAGTAGCGAGTAGCGACCATCCTTACCAGGAAGAGGGATTCGGCGAAATACGGTTTCATTTTGACGGTATGAAATCGTCAACAATTTGAAGCTAAAGCAAATATGGGAATAGACAAATATCGAATCGATCACGAATTATAATGCACTATACCTAAGCATTAGATCAGTTGTGTCTAAAGCCTTAACTGAAACATTTGTTCTTTGTAATAATTGTATCTATCCTAACAAACAAGTCAAAAGGTCAGACCGCAAAGGAAAGAGTCCGAATTAATGTTCGGGTGACCGGGCGTATTCCCAGATCGCCTGATCAGATGGCCTGTCGAACCACCCACCCAAAACCCACCGTTCTGACTTCTGAGCGAACGGATGAATGAAACACCAGATGCGGGAAAATGTCAAATGAATGGTCTGCTCGCAGCTGCTGACGGCGACCGATTAAGGCTCGTTAATGAGCCGGATTTCAAGGTCTTCCATCCATCCCAATTAATTCACACGGCAAAACGAACCACATCGCTCATCGCCAAACAGGAAGAGACCTTCACTCGACTGGGAAACATCCTGAATTCGGCCTGGCCTCATACCGAAGCGTCAGACAATAGCCGTAACGGTCAGCTGGCGGACCGTCTCCGGCGCCGTGGAGCGGAGCAGGGAGTCTAGTCAGCCGCACATCCCGTGATTTCACGGCTCGTGCACGGCACGGCCCGCGGCTGTGCGTGCGGCGCGTGTCGCTCGTTGCGTGTGAAGCTCTGTCAGATAGCCGACTGGCGTGTCGGCCGACGCGTCCCGGTGATCCCGGCACCGCGCGCTGCCTGACACCGTGTCACGGACACCCGTGTCACAGACGTGTCACGGACTCACCGTGTCACATATGTGTCACGGACACACGTGTTACAGACGTGTCACATATGTGTCACGGGCCAAAGAGGTGTTAGTGTCACAGACGCGAGACAGAATGTCTGGCCGTGGCCACGTAACCGCACTCCTCTGTGGGTTCAACACAGCAACCTGCATAATGCATATTGCAATATTGCATATTTTACAATCCTTGTAGAAACTGGCCTATGTTGTATACCGAAGCAGGCGCAACAGTCCTCATTGGTATGCGGTCGCTTATGTAGCTTCATACTCGTCGCTATGGCGCCAGTCGACAACAGAGCGACACAAACACTCGCGAAAATCTATACTTTCTAATAACCAGGAAATTGAGTAATGATCCGCGGATCTGCTTACCAATAATTTCAATCGTCTTTTTGTGCACTGACCTTTCAAAAGGCTGAAAGTCGTTAAATTCTGTCAGGTGATTGACATGAGCATGCGCGCTTATGCCGCGTTCGTGTCGTACAGTGTTGGCTTGGAGTGAGTAATGGATGTGAACTGTAATGCTAAGCAATTTTGCTTATCATTTTCTTTTCTATTATTTTGTGCTCGTTGCATCACCACGACATGCGTAATATTTGACTTTGGTTTGCTTTTAGGCACAGGCAGCTATTCGTACTTTTCGTGCGTGCGTACCACGTATGCACCTGCACTCGCTGAGACCGTCATGTTATCATCCGAATGTCATTTAGCATAAGTTAGCTAAGTGATTGATTACTACCGACTGACTTGATCCGTTTTTGGACCTCGCCAATGCTTATACGATTGGTACTCGCTGGAAACTTTGGAAGACATCCCTCCCAAACTCCTAATGAAACGTCTGTGTCCGATCGCTCCTTCGCGGTCCCGGCGGACGGCTGGCACGACGCTCGTTTGGACCGGGCCGGCCCGCCCACCCTGTCCGTAAAAGGCCGCCTGACCTTCCGCCCCCTCGCCGGTCCCCGGGTGATCCCTGATAGCTGCTCGGTAACGCCCGGTCGTGACGTCACAATGACACATCGGCACCGTTTCAGGCCAAGCCGGCGGCGGCGGCGGCCCCGGCAGCCGCCCCCGCCCGCGCGCGCCGCACGGAGCCGGCCGCCGAGCCGCGCAAGCCGGCCGCCGAGCCGCGCAAGCCGGCCGCCCGCGCCGCCCCCGCCCCCGCCAGACCGCCGCCCACAGCACCAGCCAAGGAGAACAGGGTAAGACGGGACGATGACTGTCGTGATAGCTTCCTCAGTGGTTCTGCGTGTGTGATGTATGGAACGGTAATGCTCGTGAGAAGACGCTAATGCAATGCCCAATTACAGTTTTGGAGTTTGGAGAGGGCAGGTAACCTATGAGTCCAGACTTGTGCCGTGACCAAAAATCAAGATCCAGGATCATCAAGGTCCCACGGCAATTTCAATTTCTAGAATCCAAGGTTTCCAAGGTCCCACGGCAAATTCAATTTCTAGAATCCAAGGTTTCCAAGGTCCTACGGCAAATTCAATTTCTAGAATCCATGGTTTCCAAGGTCCCATGGCAAATTCAATTTCTAGAATCCAAGGTTTCCAAGGTCCCACGGCAAGTATACATTGCAGGATCCACAGTCCCCAAGGTCCCACGACAAGAATGCATTGCAGGATCCACAGTCCCTAGGGTCCCACGACAAGTATGAATTTCAGGATCCACAGTCCCCAAGGTCCCATGACAAAAATACACTTCAGAGTTCAGGGTCCACAGTCCTCAAGGTCCCACGGCAAAAATACATCTCAGGATTCAAAGTATTCAAGGTCCCACAACAAGAACTTAAACTAACATTCTGATAAGCAGACTTACTTCTAAATATTCTACCAACGTCAGCCCAGCAGCATTGAAAGGGGCAGAACCTATGCAAACCTGTGGTGGTTTTATCATTTACCACAGACCACCATAGGTAGGGGGAGCTTCAACACAAGTTAAAGATGAATCATAATATCAATCTCTCCTTCTTTAGCCTGACTAATTCATAAAGATATAGGTAGGTAATAGGTACCTTGCAATTTGCATTTTGTATTGTCATGTCCCTTTCAAATCAATCTTACCTGATCATTAGGAATGTAGGATAGCACCTTACAGTTATTGAAGACAGACATCCAAGTATTCTTTCAGGCAATATAAAAAACCAGAATTAAAACCTACACGCTTCAAAAATTGAATTGGATAGGCATATGCTTTCGATCTTCTGCACATTACATATTAGGATAAAAACTCAAATATGTTCTAAGTCTTGTTTGCGCGAGCGCTCACAGAAAAAAAAAAACTGATCGACTAAGCCAATAGAATTAGAGTATCAGCGAGCGCAAACCTTACTTACTGTTCATTCACATTAGCTTGAAGGCTCTGAACAAAATTTCATCTAACAATTTTTTCGTCAGACGGTTCTTCGTCGGCAGATTTTCGTCTGACTTTTTCGTCTTGCATTTTTTCGTCTGTACGAATTGATTTGGTGCATTTTTTGTCTGAGTATTTTTCTGTCCGGCATTTTTTTTCGTCTGGACGAGGCAGAAGATGTCCTTACGAATGCGCGGACTTAAAAATGCACAGACGAAAAAATGCATAGACGGAAGTCTGCGGACGAAAATCTACAGACGAAAAATTGTCCGACGAAAACCTGCTAAACGAAAAAGCTGAACTGTCATGGAATCATTGCTTATATTGGATGCTCATTGCTCAATGGTGATTTTATGACTTGCAAATCAAATAAGTTTGACACTTACCTACTTGGTCAGTGGGTAGCTTCCAAGTAGCTTCAAGCCCGGCATATCGCAACCCAGAAAATATGTGAGGTGAGATTAGAAAAGAACTTTCCAAAACACCACTGTCCACTGTTTGACTGTTTCATAATCCATAACATTAATAATGTAAGAAGCTACCAGGTCTCTTGTTCCAGTTCTGCCTCACAGCCATGACAACGATTTGGCTCTATATATGTCTATACAGTCTGGTTCGTTTTCTCTCCATGTATCTATCTTAGCCTCTTGCAGCTGGTCGCTCAACCATAGATATTTATTGAAGTGTTTACAGACAAAACCTAGTGCAGGGTCCTTAGTGGCCCATGTGCAGCATAAACCTCATGGTCCAGCTTCCAGGATTCTTGGGGTCCCTCAACAAAATGCTGGTGTAGGTCCAGACCCTTCTCCTAAGATCCCATGACAAATAATAAAACTGGGATTGAAGGTCTGCATTCTGCAGGGTCTTGCAGCATGCCAAAATTTTGAGGTCCTGTCCCCTGGGATTCCATGGTTTTTCGGCATATGAAATGTTGAGGTCCTGGGTTTCTAAGGTCTCATGTCACATGAAATGTTGATGTCCTGGGATTCCAAGGTCTCACGGCATATGTAAATGTTGAGGTCCTGGGATTCCAAGGTCTCGCGACATATGCAAATGTTGAGGTCCTGGGATTCCAAGGTCTCGCGGCATATGGATGTTTTAAGGTCCTGGGTTTCCAAGGTCTCACGACAAAAATGGCAATGCAAGGTCCAGGATCCATCAAGGTCCCAGACCTTGGACTCCCCAGTAAAAAATACCATTTGAAACCATTAGGATTTACCAATTGGTTTCAAATGTGTCAAATGGTTTGAAATAGGTTCTAATGGTTTTTATGACCATTTGAAATGGTTTCCAATTGGTAATTTCCCAATTGGTCTGAAATGGTGTTTTCCATTTGGTCCCAATCGGTTTTGAAATGGTTTCCTAATGGAAAATAAATCCCATTTGATTTCAAATGGTGTTTTCCATTTGATCCCAATGGGGATGTTCGGCTTATTTCCTCACCAGGTGGCAGCACTGCCTTCTTTGGACACAGAAACTGTGGCGGCGAATGCGCCACTGTGTTTTACACTGTGTGGAGTCGGTGCGGTGTCGGTCCGAGGGACTGAATTTCGGTGAATTTGATAGCAATTGATTTGAATTTTGCTCAGATGGGTTGTGAATTTATATTCGGCAAGTGTCACAAACATGGAAAGGCAAGTTTACAAAGGACAGGAGACTTAGAAGTTAGAAAGGCTTCAATTGACGTAGCCGAAGAGAGGCGAGAAGCCGAAGATCGACCGACTTCAAACGGTAATTCCATCGATGTAACACGTTTCCCGACATTTTTTTATGGCGAGCATAATTAAGAGTATAAAATAGTCTAACTTAACTCATAGCTGGATCTTGTATTGCCCATATGAGGTAATTCACCTGTGTAAGTTTATGGGCATATCAATATAGGAAGTTGGCCTGCCCTTTGAGAAAGGCATTAAAAGATTACAGGGTGAGCCATAAAGATTTACCCATCGATAAATTCACTTTATTTCCAAACGGGTTGGCGTAGGTATGCCATCTTTTGCATATATGTCGCAAATTTGTCTCCAATCCTGACAGTGTAGCTCATTTTGTTTATGCTCGTCCACTGTCTCTGCTACGCTCCTGAAATGCGAGGTCGTCTTAACGCACATCCGCCGCTCCTGAAATTCAGGAATCACCACTGGGTGTTGGCTGCTGAACACTCCTTGGTCTAAAGAATGCTGGGCACAATTCATCCCCGACTTCAGCCCCACGGGCTTTGCAAACTAAAATATCCTGAAAACCCGACTCTACCGAGTCCCTGAAACACCGCAAATGACATACGGCGCAGCATTCTTATAGCATGGGTGATCGAGGAAAATAAGTGAAAAGACGGTGCGGCGGCCGCGTGCCATAGTGCTCTTGCGTCTCGGGCGCGTAACATAAGAAGAATGCAAGCATACAGAAAACAGACTACATTTATTAGTTAGGAGATGACGTTGTTATATGTGTGTAAAAGATGACATAGCTATGTCAGCGCGCCTTGAAACAAAGTTAAATTTTCGATGGGTAAATCTTTATGGCTCACCCTGTATACATGCTGCTGAGAATGATTATATAAATTCAATGCATTTGTATAAGATTCATTGCAAGCATTTTAGCAGTGTTCTTTTGTCTGGTACCAAAGATATTGCATGCAGATAAAGGTTATGATGGAAAAAGACAAATAGGATCTATTTTGACACCAGTAACCAGGAGGTATATGTAATAGAACACTAAGCTACCTACTATTTATGAATTGTTACAAGTATTGATCATCCCACATGGTGTTCCAGGTGCCCAGTGCAATCATGCTTCTGGTGCGGAGTTGTCAGGATGGAGTCCGAGGAATCAAGGAAGGCAGAGGACCTGCGTATGAAGGAACCAGCCCTGTGGATGAAGATCTGAGGTGCATACAGAGGGAGCCCACTGAAAGACCAGGTAGGAGTTGGTGAACAGCTTGTGCACTGCAGTATATCATCCAGAAGCAACTGATAGCCTTTCTTGCAAAATGTTTTTTTTTAACTCATCACCACCTAAAGCTACTCATTATTGATATAATATCTTAATTTCATCAGGTAAATAATTGTTTACTCTAAGTTTTGATTCACACTGAAGTGAACAATATTTTAGAATATTCACTCAGCTTTTTTAGCAACTAAATACGGGCAAGTTTTTTGTTGTTTTTAAAAATAAATTTTCACCTACTAAAATATTTGTATATGTAACTGCAATAAAAGTGCATTTCAAAATTGCAAATACTTTTCATGGGTCTTGATGATGTCACTGTATCCAGTTCATCATATTAGATTTCAACTGTGTTTAAACTGCAATGTTTTGCTAATTGCTTCAGTATATAATGTCCTTTTATCCATGCATGTTAAACATATGTATCTCATTATGACTTGCCAAGATCTTTCCCTACTGTCTTATGCCATTTTTCATTTATCCACAGGTGCAATGCTGCATTGATAAGATCCAGATTCAAGAGCATGGATGCTACCAGATCCTGTGATTTGAAGTTACCTACCAGTGTCACTGCTGCTACAAATGACATCAGCAACACTTCCTTTGGTGAAAGTTTAGAGGAGCAAACAGTTGGTACTCTGTGTAGTCAAGCAGTGGAGTTTTGCCACAATCATGAAGTTGATTAAGGTGTCAATTTTTTTTTTTTTGCTCTGGCTTCTGGGACACCTTGGATCTACATTGCAACCTATGCTAGTGTTCAACATTTCGTGTCGTAGTATCACTGATGCAAAGCGTGTTGCATCATACACAAATGAGAGCCAGCAAATTGGCAGATATTTTCTAGTGATAGAGAACTGCATGTGCCTTAAGCAATTGTTGAAGGTGATAAGTGGTGAATGGTAGG